AATATTTTATTTTATTAAATAATTGTAAATAACACAATTAAAAAAAAAAAAAAAAAGGCCTTCGTCTCTAGGCCGCCGAAGACGAAGAGGGTCTTCATCTCTAGCAGCCTGGAGACGAAGGACATCTTCGTCCCTTCTTCTCCGGCATGGCTCATCCTTCGTCTCCAGACTACCGGAGACGAAAACCCATTCTTCGTCTCCAGGCTGTCGGAGATGAAGACCCATTCTTCGTCCGGTAGCCAGGAGATGACGAAGGCTTTTTTTTTTTTTTTTTTTTTTTTTAAATTTATATTTTGTGATTTAAAATTAGTTAATACGTAAAAAATTATTATTTTAATAAAATAATCTTTACTTCAGGTAAGCATGTCACTTTTGGATTCAATTGCATGATTTTGCGTTGTTCAGGGATCCAATTGTAATTTTTTGCGTTCAATGGCCTAATTGCATTTTCTTGTGTAGTTCGATAACCTATTTGACCTTTATTCTTAATTATAAAACTCTGTGTTCATAATTTTTGAACTTCGTAATCACAATTATTGAACTCTATATTCATAATTACTGAATTCTATGTTCATAATTACTGAATTCTATGTTCATAATTATTGAATTCTATATTCATAATTATAAAACTATATGTTCATAATTTTTTATTGAACTCTATATTCACGATTATTGAACTCTATATTCACAATTACAGAACTCTATGTTCGTAATTATAGAACTTTATGTTTATAATTATAAAACTTTATGTTTATAGTTTTTGAACTTTATATTCACAATTATGAACAATTTTGGAACCGCGTCCACTTTGCAAGGTGAACACGGTTTCGGAGCAAAATTTGCCGAGATTGACATCCATAAGAATATATATTTTTTTTTGAGAGGACATACATAAGTATATAAGATGAGGTTTTTCGCAAAATGGTCCCTCAACTATCGCTTATTCTCAATTTTGTATTTCGACTTTTAATTGCACCCAATGTGGTCCCTTGACTTTTAAAAACTCTCCCAAATTGGTCCTCCGGTAGAAATTCCATCTATTGAGTGTTAAAATGAAGGGCACTTTCGGCCATTCACCTATTATATGCCTAATATACTCTGAAAAATAGTCGAGTGACCATTTTGGGAATAGTCGAGGGATCATTTTGAGAAAACTCATTTATTTATTTCCATTTTTTTAACACTATCAAATTAGAATTTGAATACATTTTTTTTCTTACAAATATAAATAGTTAAAATCCACAATCAAATCTCAAAATTTTAAACGTTCTCTACAATTTTTTTTTCCTTTTGTCTAAACGAACAAATTTTTCCCCTATCCCTATCAAGTTTTACAATAAGTTTTGTAACATTAAATATTATTTTTATAGTTAAAATAAAATTATTATTTATTTACGTACTATGGTAAACAAGTTTAAATTTCAAATTTAAGTTTATTAACATTCATATATAAAATACAAACAAACTTCAAAATGACAAGAACTTATAATATTGGTAAATGATGAGACTTTAGGTTTAGAATTGTTTGTTTTGTGGTAATTATTTTTGTATTTGGTTTATTTTACTTGTCCTTTAAGACATAAAATTGATAGCCATAGTTCTAGACTCTCTTTAGCATGGTGTACTTCTGGGTAGATAGGCATTTGGAAATGGTAGCTATGGTTTGTACTAACTTTGGAATGAAACTAATGGCCTTACAGGCTAAGTTAAACCAACTTTCCAAAAATATTTTCTAAGATTTTGTCATTGACCGAGAAGTGACGCGTACTTCTCAGTTCGAAGAAGTGCCAGAGCATAGCGATTGATTGTAAAAATAATATTTTTATTTTCAAAAGGCATAGTGACCGAGAAGTGAAGAGTACATTTTGGGTGTCTAAATTGATAAAAATAGTAATGTTATTTTCAATGATAAAAATAATATTTAATATGATACATAGTGATTGATTGTCTATTGAAGTTTTAGTGTGTGTGTGAACATAAAAAGTATATGAGTATTATATTTTTGAAATTCACAGAACTTATTGTAAAACTTGATAGGGTTAGAGGAAAAGTTTGTATGTTTAGACAGAAGGAACAAATTTGTATAGAAAGTTTAAAATTTTGAGATTTGATTGTGGATTTTAACTATTTATATTTGTAAAAAAAAAAAATGTATAGAAACTCTAATTTGATAGTCTAACAAAAATGAAAATAAACAAAAATGAAATAAATAAATGAGTTTTTCTCAAAATGATCCCTCGACTATTCCCAAAATGGTCCCTTGACTATTTTTTAGAGTATATTAGGCATATAATAGGTAAATGGACGAAAATGCACTTCATTTTAACACTCAATAGACGGAATTTCTAACGGAGGACCAATTTGGAGGAGTTTTTAAAAGTCAAGGGACCACATTGGGTGCAATTAAAAGTCGAAATGCAAAATTGAGAATGAGCAATAGTCGAGGGACCATTTTGGAAAAAAACTCTATATAAGATTGACATACATAAGAATAAATTTTTTTTTTTGAGAGGACATACATAAGTATATAAGATTGACATACATAAGAATAATTTTTTTTTTTTTTTTTGAGAGGACGTACATAAGATGGAAAAATTTTAAAAATTTTCGCTAGAAGGAGGGCTTGAACCTCCGACCTTGTGGTTAACAGCCACACGCTCTAACCAACTGAGCTATTCCAGCTATGTGTATAAAATGGGAATAATAATTATTAATACAAAAGATCACAGCGCAGGTCATCCAGTTGCCTTTCTCTGAGAGAAGCGCAGGGCGAAGTTGAAGAGTTTTTGGCGGCGTTATTCTACAGAGCCAGAAATCTCAAGCCTCTTCTCTTTTCTCCGGCCGTCGATCTTCTCTCTTAGAACCGCCGCCCCAAAACCCAACGACGCCACCCAAAAATCCCATCTTGAGTCCGCCCTTCAAGCCTCCCTCACTGCCCACAACGTAGATGAGGCCTGGAAGTCATTCAATCCAGATAACTCTCTCATCGCCCACCTCTCTTCCCTCTCCGACACCCTAAATCTCAAGAGAGCATTTGCGTCTGTGGTGTTCTTGATTTGAGAGGAACCCAGAATTGCTCTTCCCTGAAACTGTTGAAAATTTTGTTGGATTCAATGAGGAATGCCAACACTGCTGCCCCTGCTTTTGCATTGAGGTCAAGTGTATATTCAAGAATCAATTTTTCCTGCCATTTAGTCTGTGGGGGAATGCCCTTGTTGATACCAGTAGAAAAACTTGTTGCTTAGTTGCTTATTTGCACATATTTAATGAGAGTTGTAGAATTGCCATGGATGACAAGTTGGAGTTCTTGAAGCCTGATTTGGACTATTGGCCTATTTGTATGCAAGAAAAGGGATGAAACATAAAATTCTCGAGTTAGAAGTTCTTGTGACTAGGTTTGGATTCTCCGATAGGAAGGTTGTTCTTAGTAGTTTGATTAGTGGATATATGAATTCTGGTAGTTTAGAATCTGTTTCTGCTACTATTATGCTTAAATTAAGAGAAGGGGTTAGCGGAGAAAGTATAAGGTCTTGGCGAGGAAACTTATATTGAAATCGTGAAAGGATTCCTTGATAATGGAGGAATGAAGAACTTATGTTATGATCAAATCAAATGATGTATGTTCTCCTAGAGAATTTGTATATGCCATAAGTATATATATCCTCAGATTTTAGATTGGGGAGCCTGCAGTTTTTGCTTTTCAATTAACTCTGATTTTGATACTTTAGCAGGTAGCCATGTATAACATGTGTGTTTCTTGTTGTATAAACATTCAATTGCATGAACTTCCTGCTGAAAACATAAATGGTTAATGTTTCAAAGGGTAGTTTTAAATGGAGCTTTGTACTATCAAGAGTGTATACTAAACTTCGCTAGAAGTGATTCACTCGCTAAAAAGTCTGCAATTATATTAAGTGTAATATGAGGTCTTATACAAGGCACATTAACAACTCGATTAGGTGGCTCAACAAAGACGGGAGGCATCCGAGGTGTCTATAGCGAACAGAACAAAGTGGCTGATTTTCTTACAACGTTATGCGTTCACCATCATATGGATTGGGCGGAGGTTATTAACCTTCCCTAAGAATTGAGGAGCTTATTACCGGTAACCAAATGAACGTGACCTGCAGAGAGTGAAAGTGAGAGGTTAGCCTCTCACCGTTGGAATACTTTCTCTTTGTGATTTAAAAAAGTATATCTTTAAATATATTCATTACGTGAATGATATGCATTAAATAAATCAATAAATCATTGACCCAGATATGCAGATAAAGGTTGAATCTCAATCCCAAGGGCCCCACACTTTGGCCCGACAGAGTATTTAGATGTAAATCATCGTGACTCAATTGCTCAGCAAACAGGACCAAATGTCAGTACGTACAAAAAGGATACCTTAATCTCAGCAAATTATATTGTGAACACGTACTCACCATGCACATGGTGCACACAAATCTATATCCATAATTTCTATACTGTAGATCCATAAATTTCTAGACTTTCGGTGAGCTAAAATTATGAATCTAAAGTATAAATTTTAGTTCACTGAGAGTCTCGAAATTATGGATATACAGTATAGAAATTATAGATATACAGTATATAAATTATGGATATAGATTCGTGGTTAGAAATTATGAATCTAAAGTATAAATTTTAGCTCATCGAGAGTCTAGAAATTATGGATTTACAGTATAGAAATTATGGATATAGATTCGTGGTTAGAAATTTTATGAAGCTAAAGTATAAATTTTAGCTCACCGAGAGTATAGAAATTATGAATATACAATATAGAAATTATATATCTACAAGTATAGAAATTATGGATATAATCTATATACGGGGTCACTCCTAGCGGAAAACGAATTTGTGCCAAAGTGAGCACGTACTCACAACATAATGATTGCTTAATCTCTTCTTCCAAATACTACATACCTCCCTCTAACGAGCTAAACCCGTAACCTTTTAATACGAAAATATTTAATCAACACGGGTGGGGGCAAAGTGTGTTATTATTATACTTATTAAATAGAAATAAATGCCCCCAGCAGTTCAGCATCCTCAACGGCCATTTCGCCATTGATCTCTTTCCGACCTCCTCCTACTGAAATTCGGGGTAATCTTTTTCTCCAAAACCCTAATTCCTTTTTACCCTGCATTTTTTTTTTCAATTTGTCTTATTCCTTACGCACCATCAAATCACGATGTTATGAAACCTAAATCATAATATATCGTCTTAAGATGCTGGCGATTATAGAAGGAATGTACATTCTGAGTTTCATCACGAAATTCAAAATTTATTTTGCTTGAATTCATATAATCCTTTGAACTTTCATCACATTTCGCGATTTCTTTTTGTTTTCAATTCAATAATTTTGCAGGTCCTCTGCCGGAATAACTGCAGGAGATGACTGCAAGTACCGGCAAGATCAACCACCGGCGGTACGGTAGCAAAATTATAAAGCCTTTCTTTCTATACGGTTAGTTTTTTTTTTGTTTTTGTTTTTTTTTTTTTTTTTGTTTTTTGGGTTTTTTCCTTACATTTGTAGCTTATTTCAGTTCTTGAATAAATGTAAGAATGAAAATGGTCAAGGATTCAGAAAATGTAATACTTCTAAATCAAAATGTAAGATTTAAGGATGAACTGTTAGAAAAAGTGTAATATTAATCATGAATAAATTGATTGATTCTTACCTAAAGAAAGTGTAATATTTCTGAGGAAAAATGTAATATTATGGATTGAAGAGTTATGATGAAAATTGTAATACTTATGAAAAAATCGACCCGTCTCAGAGATGTATATATATATGTGTGTGTGTGTGTATCTATGCAGTGAATTCTTATAAGTTTCCAACTCAGGAATTTCAGATGTTGCCAATCTATGATTGCTGCCGAACATGCAACCGACAGAAGCTCCCGAAGTTCAAGTCATAGAAAGGGCGGGATCTGATCATCCTAATACTGATGGCTCTACCTCTGTGCAAAGGGAAATGAGTTGCTCTTCCCGTGAATCCTTGTTCAGTATTCATGTTGATAGCTTCACGAGATGTCCTGTTCCTGGCATGGGTGCGGACCTACCCTACCCCGGGGAACAGGACAAGGCTCGAGAATATGAATATATGGACCCCAAGCAATCAATTAGTCTCAGGGGAGGCTTTCAAGACACGGGAGGAGGAGAAGAGAATAACAAAGAGGACCTGGGACTGGATAACGGCCCAGTATCAAGCCAAACTTTAGTAGAATTACCGAAAGAGACGAGAAAATCCGGAGAACATACGGGTTCTTCTGCCCTTCTAACGTGAGTGCCATTCCTTGTCGTCTTTGATTTACATACACAACTTGTAACTATCTAAGCTGCCTATATTGCCCCTTGTAAGTCGTTTAACAGGCGATGTTGCTGCTGCTGTAAGCCAGTAACCTGGATGTGCGGCCACTGCTTGACTCCGGCCTGGAATAGCTGTATTTCCTTGTTGAGCTGCTGCTGCAAACGCCCGACCTGGCAAAGCTTTATGTGTTCAAACCTCTGTGGAAGACGATCTTCTAACACGTATCCCTCCCCCTCTCTCTCTCTCTCTCTCTCTCTCTCTCATATTTTGCATTTCAAGCATATTGTCGTATTAGCCCTGTTGATTTAACACATTTCTAATGAGAAATTCATAGAACAAACTCTTGTGACGTTTTGCAGGGTGGAAAATGGGCCCAAACAACATACTAAGAGCTCGAAAAAGGCTTCCGGACAAAAATCTTGAGGAAAAAACCATGCTTTTAAGAAGGTTTCCATTGTCTTCTCAGAAAACGAAAACATTTCAGGCAGATCGTAGAAAAATTTATCAATTCTCAACCAAAAGATTTGCTCATGTTGCTTCAGAAGGCAATGATATCTTCATCTTTTCACAGTAGATTTTTCCTCTAACTGTAAATTTGAGGTTGTCTGGAAGGCACTTTCTCACAGTTTGGAATCCTGGTGAGAAATCCAGTGTGAAGAACATGAATGACATGTTGTGTTTGTTGATGCTAAGAAGTGCAGAGTACTATAATTGATAAGAACACAATTATATTAGTATTAACAATTAATATCCCAATTACAATTGATAATCACAACTTTTAATTGATGGAGAAGGTTACAATAGTAAGACAAATGCTAATGTTGAAACATTATTCGTGTTCAGAATGTTCATTATACGAAATAATGTATTTCAGTATTCAAATGATGTGTTTTTTCTAAATACAATGTACATTTTTATTAAAAGTACATTATTTGTGTATTGAATGTACATTAATTTGTTCTATCAAAGTCAAAATTAGACCATCGAGTATTATTAGCCTTGTCTTTCAAAATCCCCAACAAATGACCACGCTCAGTGAGATTATGTAATAGACCTCTAGGCACCTCCTCACCCATCAACGGCAAATTATGCTGTGGAATCCTATTAAGGTGAATATGGTTTCAAAACTGTTCATAATTATGAATATATAGTTCAAAAATTGTGAACATAATTATGAACATATAGTTCAGTAATTATGAACATAGAGTTCTGTAATGGTGAATATAAAGTTCAAAAATTATGAATATATAACTTTATAATTATAAACATGTAGTTCATTAATTATGAACATAGAACCGTGTCCACCTTGCAAGGTGGACACGGTTCAACAACATAACAATTGCCCATCAACCAATTTACAACCATCACAAAATCTCTAAATTTCAATTTCTAGCACATTACAACTATTACAAGTGAGTAGTGACGATGATAACTGTATTAACCGTGCAGAGACAGATGGAGACTGTATTAACCGTGTAGAGACAGATGGAGACTAGAATTGTGAATCATAAACTGACTCAAATACATAGAATCCTAATAGTGACAACCCTCAACCATTTGCCAAACTTCAACGAATCAATTCATCGAATTGTCACCTTTTTTTTTTTTTTTTTTTAAATCAAGTTCTTAAATCTTGACACACCCATTTATATTGAATTTAATCCAATATTTTCCGATCTCTCTCAACGCAACTCACTATTACCACATAATATCGTCCTTACTCCATTATTCATCACTCACGTAAAAGTTCTATTAATATCAATATGATATCGTTCTGTCATCTCCATTTCCAGCAGTTGTAATAGCACACAGTATATGAGCCCCCTCACTGCTTCAAAGCCATTCTTTGAACTCAAATATTTGTTAATCCTAGTATCCTACACCTCAACAGTCAACACTATAAGCAAGATCAAAAAATAAACTACTTTTGGAAATGCCTTTAAGAGTTAAATTGCTAATTAAAGAGTATCAACAACAGAAGGGGTCCTTAGCTCAGTGGTAGAGCATTTGACTGCAGATCAAGAGGTCACCGGTTCGAACCCGGTAGGGCCCTATATTACGTTTTTTAACCCTAGCTCTTGATCACTGGTTCAAACCCAGCAGGGACCTAAATTACCTTTTCCCCCTTGCTTTATACGGCAAATGTGTAAGAAGAATAACAGACCAAAGCTACTCTCTGCACTCTGCCCACACCAAAGATGCACAAAATAGTCTTTTGCAACATAACATTCCAACATGAGCATTTGTAGGCAAACGTGTATATTTCTGCCCATATCAAATATGCACAAAATATTCTTCTGTGACATAACATTTCAACATGACCATTTGTAGTTACATATAACATATGTGTTCAAAAGAATGAAAAATAAGAAAACAAACTCTTCTTTCTCCTTCTCTAGGATGTCTGTCCTATGTGGTGATGTTTTGTCTCCCGGACACGGGGGCGTAGCGTAGCGTTTATTACAGGAAGGGTGCGGAGTTGGGTTTGATGACGATATGTTTGAGGGGGTGAGCGACGTCGCTGCCTCCTGCATGCTTCACAAACTCGGCGGGCGAGAGGAAACTCCCATGGCACACGCACATTATTCGTACTTCTTGCCCCTTGCCATATTTGTATAGTATCCCGTCGATTCTTTTCCCATTAGGACCGTCGCCCTTGGTGAACACACACGGCATATCCTCCATGGCATTCGTTCCGATTTCCCTTGCTTGATCGCTCGTACTATTGGGTTTATGAGATGTACCCTCCGTCTCGGCCCCGGACATCCTGCTTGCTAGATCCATCGTCTTAACCCCGGACGAACCAACGTCCCTGCTACCCGTGTCTTGCGTGGACTGGAAACTCCCGGGGCTCACGTCACCAGAACCTGGAAAACGAAATTGATTTCATTGGCAAAAGAATCGAAGTAAACAGTGAAAGATATAAAGCTAATTTATATTTTTTACTACGTATTTCTACCCGTTTTGAGGTTTAAACTTTAACCTTACAAGTTACAATTCAGGTAATAGTAGTTCTAAAAACGCTTCGATTTTAACTGTTGTTTTTGTTCCCAACTTTTCCTCTACAGTTAATGCAAACATTAACCAGTTTATTCACCTTCATGTCCTGGTCTTTTAGTAGCAGAACATATTGGATAAGAAGAACATATTGGATAATAATTCCAAAGGCCAAATTTAATGTTGTTTCAACTAACACAATAGACTCCTCTCAGCATTCACTGTTGCACTAATTTCAGAATCCATCAACCACGCTAAAGTCACAACCCACACCACACAACATCGAAAATACACTATTATTCACGTCATAGTTCTCACCTACCAATTCTAAGATCTCTTTCACGTTATGTGCTACTTGGTTCGCATTAGCGGTTTAGAGAAGATCTATTCGTGGTAGACAAGAATCTTGTCCCTAACCACTTCCCGACTTTCCATTATAATGAACAAAAACATCAAGTGCTAAGTCAACTAGCTAACCGTAGGAACCAGCTTGGTTGACGTGAGTGACCGTGCACTCTCATCCCTTAAGAGAGGTAGGGAGTTCGAACCCCCTCTAGTATGGAAAAACCAATCTGGCCAGCACTTCGCCCTTAATTGGGCTGACCCGATGCGAATGGGGGTTAGTCTGAGTATGGTACAGGCTTAAAAGTATCTCCTACAGTTAGGGTCTGTTCAGGACACCTCATGGCCCGACCAAAAAAAAAAAAAAAAACTAGCTAACCGTAAGACCTCTACATTTGTAAAATAGATAAAACAGTAGGAGGAGGGAAATCACAGTACAGTACAAATAAAGAGTTCTAATTCCTGGCAGAGAAAGTAAAAGCTGAAAAGTAAAAAAGGAAATGCTTGGATCCTCACCACACAGAATAATTACAGTCATCACACTACAAAAGACGGGTTAATCAACAATACGATGCATTACAGAACTTTCCCTTTTCGATGAACCGAGGCTTTTTACTGCAAGTTAACAATGCTGTTTGTTTCACAGGCTGCGAAATCGAGTATGCAATAACGTGGATTCCAATTTCCAAATTAGCTATAAATTGCTAGAAATCGTGAACTGTGCTAAAAGAACTACTGTACAGATAAGCAACCAAACAATAATTACATTAAATTTTTGCAGATTTGGAAATCACTTTTAAACTTGCCAGAATCTATGGACATGTTCCAACAGAACTGCAGTACAGATAAGCAAGGCAGAACACAATAAATCTGTTGTCTGGCCGATATCAAGATAAAATGTAATAAAGCACATTGTACTCCCACTAGGAGCAGTCTATTGGCCTTTATAATTTAAGTCAATTAGCTATGTGCAACCTCAGGTTTACCTCTTGTGGTCCTAGAATAAGAAGGCGGGCCTGTGGTCCTAGGTTCACAAGGCGGGTCTACCGGTGCACACATTTGACCCCAAGGTAGGGTTACCTTAGTTACCTAGTACACACATTTGACTAGTGACAATAATGCGAGGTTACCTCGTGTGGTCCTAGAATAAGAAGGCGGGCCTACCCAGTGCACACATTTGACCACAAAGTGGGGTTATCTAGTACACACATTTGACTAGTGACAGCAATGCGAGGCTACCTAGTACGTACATTTGACTAGTGACAACATGTTTCCCTCGTCCTAGCGCACACTCAGATAATGGCGGCGGGTTTTCCTCGTTACTCAATAATAATTAATAACACATTGTTGGAACACCAAAAACAGAATAAAGTGGTAAAAAAGGGGTAATTGTAGGGAGGAAATGAAGTACCTTGAAGAGATTTACTTTCCAATTCAGACATGCTTGAAGAGCTTCCCCCTTGAGATTCAACTGACCCTTGGGAAGAAGGTTGTCCAAGCCCTTGAACTTTACTAAAATGACTGAAATGACCTTTCACAATATCAATACCACTCCCAAAAGCAGCCTGATTGGCGGCAGCAGCCCAGGTAGGGAGCCCAAACTGCGGCGGCGCCGATAAACCGAACCTTTTCGCGGCGGTTAAGTACTGTTCTCTCTCCAATCTCCCTTTGAAATTCTTCTCAATTTCCCTCTTTTCATCTTCCAAACTGCTGCCGCCGCCGCCGCCGCCGCCGCTGCCGCCTCCGGCGGCGGCGGCGGCGGAATTTCTCTGCTTCTCCGACCGTCTCCTCTTAGCCTGCATTCTCCGCAAGGTCTGCAACTCCTTCCGCTTCCTCCACTCTTCCTCCGTCTCCACCGGCAGGGAAGACGTCCTGACCAAGGCAGGATACGCCACCGGCGGCGCCGCCGCCGCGTCGTCGTCTCTCACGCTCGGCAAACATGCAGCGATAGAAGAGGACCTTACAAGGCTCTTGGAAGCTCTGTCCACCCCAAATTTCCCTCCCAATGACAACCCGAGATTCAACTCGATTTCACTCTCATCTTCCTCTTTCTTCCCCGCCGCCCCACCCCCACCGCCCTCCATGAATCTCTGCAACAAATCCCTCGAAGCAGCGCCGGTGGAATCCAGAGAAAGATTCTGCATTTCAACTCTGCTTTTCCTCCTCGCCTCCTCGCTATCCCCCATACTGTACATAAAGCTATAAAGCTCCAGTATTACATGCATGTTGATCCCTAAGCATACCCAGACACAAAAATATGTTCTTTAACTGCATACTACCTGCCCTTCAGCTCCAAGATTCAATCTTTATCCAATACCCACACTCAAATCAATCCCAGAAAATCCCCAGTAACCATAAAAAGAAGATCTATATCACCAACAAACCCACAGTGAGGAGCAGTAAAAAAAAATAAAAAAATCCACCAATGACTAGATTCTAGATAGTAGATACCCACACGTCTGTTAGGCCGAGCTGAAAAAAGAATCAAAGGAAATGGGAAGATTCCGGCGAATGGGTGGCCGGAAAGTCAAGAAAATGCGGAGAAAAGAGAAAGGGGAGAGCAGGAGGGGAGTGGGAAACGGGGAAATACTGAGGCAAATCAGGAGGGAGAGAGACCCAGAGAGGAGAAACATGGAAAATGGGGAGAGAGAGAGAGAAAGAGGAATGTGAGGACGAAAATGCCCCTGGATTTTCTTGGGTGGGGGTGGGACTATAAACGTACTTGGAAAGGACAAGTGGCGGAAGTAAGTGAGGGGAAAGGCTGACACGTGGGTCTGACTAAATAGGCCTTTTTGGTGGTGTCTCTTATGATAGAGCTTCCAGAATTTTGTTTATATACGGAAGAATGTTAAGATGCGGTCGACCACACCGCACAACCTGCGCCCACTGCCCCCCCAATCATTTCAACTTTAATTTGGAGAAAGGTAAAATAAGCTCATTAACTTTATACAATAGAGCAATTAGACAATCGTTATGATGTGCAACCGTGTCTAAAATGTATGATGCACACGGTTACAAAACGACGTTGTTTCATTTAAAAAAAAAAATCGTTCGAATTGTCGTTAACGGCGTTAGACGGTTTCATTCGTATTCAAACAGTAAGATATATCCATAATTTCATAACTACATATCCAGAATTACATAACTATATATTCATAATTTGAAAATAGTACATTCAAAAATAATAACTACACATTCATAATTTCACAACTAGACATTCATAATTACATAACTCAATATTCAGAATTCTTAAAGTTCTTGTTCACAGAGAACTATATCCATAATTGCATAACTACACATCCATAATTTCAAAACTATATATCCATAACTTCATAACTATATATCCATAACTTCATAACTATATATTCAGACTTGCAATGCTATATATTTATAATTACACGTCAATTGGAGTTTGTGTATAAAAAATAAATAAATAAATAAAAATTATTTGATTGGTGGAGTTAAACAGTGCCACTAATGACACCGTTACTCCATCATAATAAAACAGTGTCGTCTTGCAATCGTGTGCACCATGCATGTTGCACACGGTTGCACAGCATAATTTGCGGCAATTAGAGCTCTGGACTTTGAAAATGTAAAATTAAATTATTTAAAATGTTTTTTTTCGTGCACAAAAATAGGCCTGCAGATTATAGACATGTTATAGCTGGTCACTATCACACCGCTGAAAATTTGACTAACTCCGACAACTCATGACGATCGTAAGTCTGTCTTTGAAGAAGACAATCATTTCAAATCATCTTTTGTCCCATTTTTCGGAGAAGTGGACCAATTTTGGTCGCCTCTACAAAGAAGGTGATCGTTTCTGGTCATCTCTCCCGAGAAGGAGATCAGCTTTAGTCGCCTCTTCGGAAAAGGCAACCATTTAAGGTCACCTTGTGTAACACCCCCTTTTTCTAAAATCTAAAACCCGATATAAATCAAACTTAATTAAGATAAATCAAGAATAACTTAAGTAACTAGAATAATAACCCAAAAAGATAAGCTAAAAGGGAATGTCACCGCCACAGTCATCACTCACGGTAACTGCACAGATTACAAAACATCTACGGGAACTAGAGTCAAAGCTCATCAAAACAGTAATACATGGAAAACAACCCCGTTGTCTACGCACCATAAAAACGGTAGTTCACTACAACCAGTTAAAAGTACCACTAAACAAAAGGGTACCGACCTAGTAACTACTACAACTAAAACTACACACTAAAGTATCACCGTGCGCTCTCAAGAACTGGGTCCACCTGAAAGGGGTTATAAAACAAGTAGGAAAATAAACCCGTTAGAAATTAATGCTACGTATAAAGCCACTCAACCCTGTAATGTACTATAGAAATAGGTTGGAAAACATTTTTGCATTCACACACATTCTTAAGTATGAATATAAGCAATCCAGACACTTAGGCAACGAATCTCATTAAATACACATAGATACTTCTATATGCTCGCAACCTATGAACTCATATAAACAGGCTTTAACTCATAACTTATATTTATGCACATACTCATGCCACAACAGATATAAGTCATCTATATTCTACTATGCACTTCTCATAACCAAGATGATACTTTCAAGATAGATAATGAGATGAATGATGTTTAACAAGTAAAGTCATGCTTTCATACTACTACTTAAACAACGAATGACACTGTACTTTTCAGATATTCAAGATGAGACTCAAACTATGACATGATATGAATAAGGATATGAAGCTATATATATATATATATATATATATATATATATATATATATATATATATATATATATATATATATTTATTTATTTATTTATTTATTTATTTATTTATTCTCTCGCTCTTTATCAAAAGAAATACTTTTTTTGTGGAGGATCTCTGTTGAGTCACTTGACTCGCTTTTCTCTTCTTTTTTCTTTCTTCCTTTCTTTCTGAACTCGTGGGCGAGGTAGGAATTTACAAATCGTGAATGGACATATCCGGGCTCGGCATCTAGCTGGCCTAATACTCACCTCGCCCACAGAACCGGTACTCATGGTTCTTATAAAAACTCTGTGGAATCAGGTATCGTACTTTCAGTGTGCACACCCCCTAACTAGGATTCTAAGCCAGTCGGTAGTATCCAACCTAGCAACTCGGGATTGTTCTACCAAGTTACTTCTAGAATAAACTGTCGGTCCTCTGTGACCGTTTCTTTCTTTTCTCAAAACTTCTTTCTTTATATTTTCTTCCGAAAGGACATAGTCCTAACGGGGGCCTCCAAAACAAGGTTTTCCTCACATAATATAATAACATATATAACACATGCAACTTCTTTACTCAAGCTAGTAATCTAGATGTCATGCAAGCTTCCCAATACACAAGTACATCTCATATAACTTCTCTTTCACATTTTGGAAATCAATTCATCATGCAAGCTTCTCTATGCATATAGATATAGATTTTCCAAAATAGATATAAGGTTTTGAAATATAACTTAGACTTTACTTTGCCTCAACTCTACATAAATCATGAAATTGATGAACATGCTATTTTACTGTGAAACTTGGAATGCACTGCCTTAAACAATTTATCTCAAATAACTCAACAAATCATCAACTCAAGAATTAAACAAAGTAAATAGCATAGCTACTACACAATCTTGAGAAGTGAGAACAAAAGCAAAATATATACTTCACTGTCATGCATTTCTAAGCCTCGAATACACGAAGTTCATCTTTCATGCTTTTGCTAAACATGCTTCTACTTGAAATTAAACGAAACAACTCATACTAGCGCGTCATTACGAACCCGAGTGTCGGAATCTCAAGGGCCCACGAATCCCGGTCTGAAACAATACATTACTGAGCCTCAAAGCGTCCGGCCTTCTCAAAACTTGACCTGGCGGAGCTTGGTGACGGGGCTTGAGGAGCCCCGCCACTTGGCTCCATCAAGCAGCGGCCTTGAGTGACGGATCTCGCTGAGATCCGTCACCCTGGTCCGTTGGACCACGGTCCTAGCCAGCGGATTTCTCCTAGATCCGTTGGCTAGGGTCGTAAGGCAAGTCTAGCGCACCAGACAGTGTGCACCAGAGGTCTTCTTCTCCAAAGATTCAACACAGAGCTCAAATAAATGCTTCCAGACCACAATAAATCAAACATATAACATCATCAACACACAAATAACTCAACAAGTATTCTATAACATTTCTAAGCAACTAATCTCAAGAATCTAATATTAACAGACTAAAAATCATAGTTTTGGGAATCTATAGTTTATACCTTGACCTATTTTCTTCTTAGCAAATCCATTCCTAAGTTCTTCTTCTACACCCTTTATCTTCCTTCTCCAAACCAAAGCATAGTAACAACTTCACCATTTCCACTCAAAAGCACAACAAATAAACTCACATAAATACATCATCTTAACAGCTTTATCTAGAGGATGGAATGGATAAAGAGAGGAGAAAGCTTACCAAATCTTGAACCCTAAACTTTGCTAGAAGGGTCTCTAAAAATGAAGAAGAAGAGGGAAGTCTTGCAAGCTTTGAGCTCTTGGTGGAGTTTGTTCTCTGTAACATTTTGCGGAGAGGAAGTAGAGCAGGGAGGGATTTTTTTGGCTTGGCTGATAGAATAATGTTCCTTATATAGGGGCACAAAACCCTAGGTCACACTTGGAGAGAAATGAACGGCTAGGGATGGGTGTTTGGGTCATTTCGCGATTAAAATCTCGAGTTATCTTTTTGGGTAAAAAAGTTGGGTCGAGTTCAGATAGAAATAGGTTTATAAATTTTTGGGAATAAAATAGATTCATTTGTAAGAATATTCCTAGGCCAAAACACTTGAATCAGTTTCACAGGTTTCACTCAAATTGATTTTTTGGGCCAAAACTTGGTACATAAATATACCCAATACTTAGGATTTTCAAACTAGGCCACTACTTGGTGTTGAATTAATAAAAATCATGATTTAGAATATTTAATTCATACACCTATTTTGGAAGAATTTTCGAAGGAGTAAAAATAATTATTTTGGAACTTTATAAAATAGAATTTAGGAAAATAAATTTGGGCTGTCACGTTCTACCCTCCTTAAAATCAGCTTCGTCCTCGAAGCTAAGGTCAAATGAATTGAGTTTCTTAAAATGGAATTTCTTCATAAAGGATAACTCGGGAAGATTGCAAAAGAATTGGACTTAAGAATTCTTGGAATGGTTTTACAGAGTAGGAATTCTGAATAAGCATGCAAGCACTCAAGAACCAACACCACAAATATTCCATCTACTAAATGGGATTGCTAAAACTTAAAGAAACTTAACGATTGCCTTGTACCAAAGTCTCTTGGTGCATAACCTTGACAACCAAAACTCAACCTTACCCTTGATGGATCGTCTCCGAAGGGTCCTCATTCAAACTCTGGATTCAACACTTGTCACCCATGGGTGAAGTTAGAAATACCTTGATTTATTCTTTTACCAAGTGAGGAGAATCCTAACTCCACACTCCTTTGCAGTTCATCCATCACTTATAACACGAGTTCTTAACGTTGATCTTTCTTTGTTCTTGTATCTTTTAACATTGGTCGCCTCATTCATAGAAGCATTGTTAAAACTCACTATCTCATAATTTTCCTCATTACTCTCCTTATTCTTATCATCCTTACCACTTCTTCAGTCTCAACACTTTGAACTTCTACGTTTCTTGCATGAAATTT